GATGTGACCCGAGCTGTCCGTACAGATGCCACGGGGATGCTTCAGCTGACCTTCACCACTCCCCTCACCTCCAAACTGGAACACGAACTTTCCGAATTCGTCAAACACGTAAATAAAATGAGTTCCCCAGTCCGACACAAGAATGTTCCCTTCCCCGTCCACAGTGATGTACTGGGGGCCTGTCATCCTCCCCCCTGGATGCCTGAACCTCTGCACCTGAGAGCCGTCCGGACGGAACACCAAAACTTCACGGTGGCGTATATCTGTCAACAGGATGTGGTTAGTGCGCATGTCCACCGCAATCCCGTGGTGATAGTTGCTCTTCTGAAGGTCAAACCGCGCCATGACGGTCCCGTCCGTGCTGTACTGTACAACATGATCACCACTCCCTACTACCCACAGTGCGCCGTTAGAGTCCATGCAAACACCAAATGGCCCCATGTCCTTGTCCTCTGTACCCGGTACGACTGTTGGGAAGTGGCGGAGGTAACCCCGCTTTATGCTGTGGACTTGGACTCGCAAGTTCACAGTATCAGCCACAAATATCTCATTGCTAGGCGACACCACAACGCCGTGTGGGTAACAAAATTTACCAGGTTCTTTTCCGTATTCGCCAAAACTGACCGCTTGGGGGCGCTCTTGTTCGCTTGCTTGGCCTGCCATCCTGTATAGAAAGGATAGTATCAACATTAAGTATTAAAAAGTTATGGGATGACACTGCATATACCTAAGAAAAATTACTCAATTGCAAGCAACTGGATATGGTTTTTGAAACTATTAAACGTTTTAGGTAGTGGATGCTACAGAAAGCGTCTGACGGTTTCCAAAGTCATATTCAGTTGTTTAAGTAACTGTTTTTTGGCGTAATAGTATCTTATAACCTGGATGTCGAAACTTCAACGACGTAGATGCAGCACATAAGTCACGTACCAGGTAAATGTTTTGAACCGCAGACTTTGTCCTCATATCTCCCGCGCAAATACTGGTCAGAGTTCACCCCGAATGTCCGCTCCCAAATGTCGGCCTTTTTGTTTCACCCGCCAATAATTAATTAACCAGTCACGCGGACGTGCGGAGGGGCGTATCACTGATCATAAGTCCGATAATTCCTTGGCACAAATAACGTTAACAAATTTATATTTTTCATCATCTTATTCATAAATAAACATGAATATTCAAAGTACATGTCTGCATACATTGCGTGTGTGAAAGTTAAAGTTTAAAGCTACCTCACACATGTCCCCTTTACACGTCATCATCAGAAGCCATTCATGAGATGATGTCACATTTAACGGCAGCCTTTATGTACATGTACCACTTTAAGAACAGTAAAAGGCTTAAGGTGTAACTAAAGTATTTTCAAGTCCACCAGAGTGTAACACAGAAGTCATTGGTTCATTTTGAGTCTTCTAATGCCCCTAAATTTAACAATTTTACGAAGTGTTAAAAAATCCTATCAAGTCATTGACCTAAAATGGCGGCCTGGCTGAAGTGGCACCTTAATAACATTTCACGCCTGTAGTGAAGCAGGTGTGACACTCACCTGTGTGACGTCACGGTAAGACGGGTTCCTTAAGACGTAACCAGCGTCAGCCTGCTTCTTCTAGACAAACTTCCTCAGCTGTCTCCTGTCTGCTGACGGAACCTCCGGTAGACGTGGCAGTTGGGAAACAAACTCGGGAGTCCTTGGACTTTGCTCAGGGCGGTTGGTGTATTGTTGCGTAACGGATTTTCACCCGCTAGTACTGCAAATATTTCAGGTTTATAGGGGTAGAAATTGTTGAAGATGGTTCAAAACCATCGCTGTTCACGAGCAACTCGTAAAATAGGTCAAGTCAGCTTTACATTTTTTTAGAAATCAAACCCGAGAAAAACATCAATCTGACCATTTATACACACAATTTAAAGTAATGACGTCATTTTCTCTTCACTTGTACATAACCTTCTAGTACTTTTCTTTACCTAGAACCTGTGTTACCCGGTGTTGAGCCAAACCCTTGAGCTGCCACATACGTTAGACGTCAGGTGTTTAGGGCCTGGGTAAGGGTTAGAGTTGTTGTTGTTGTTGTTTGTTTGTTTTTTTTTTATTCCGAAACATGCAATCACAAGACGTGGTGACGGCACATTCAAGTTTTTTTTCAACTTATATTAATGCCGCCACCAACACAGGGGACAAATACATGACGGGACAATACTCATTTACACCTGGGCTAAGTGAGGAAAGTCGTGTAAAGTGCCTTTCCCAAAGGGCACAAGATCGGTGGCATGTCAGGACTCGAACCCGGGGCCTCTGGTTCCGAGTCGAGAACGCTGCCGCTACGCCACACGATCCCACGTTGTTGTTGTTGGGGTTAGGGTTTGCGTTAGAGTTGGGATCACTGTTCATGGCTAGGGTTAGACTTACGATTGAGGTCAGGTTACGTTTAAGCTACGGTCACAACCCGCCGTACGTGCTTCTGTGTGCTGTCTACGTGCAAAAACGTGGGCAAACGCAGGTCATCCGTGCGTGGTGAGTACCGCCTCCGTACGGAATCCTACGGATTTGGGAGCACGCAGAGACGCCAAAGAACTTTAAGTGTATGTAAAACTTTTTCTGCGTGCGGTCTACGTATTCACCACCCGTGCGTGCGAGTACGTGCGACGCGCGTGCCCCGTACGTGCCGTACGAAAGACACACGTGTGAGTACGGCCTCCTTACGGTTAAGTTGCAATCGCACAGAGATCGTACGTTGTAAGCACGTACAACTCACTAACCACTTGCGCAACGCACGATGCCACTCCTTCCCCACGTTTTCAGAAAAAAACGTAGCAGACGTAGCCTCCCAAAAGTACGGCGAGTTGTGACCGAGGCTTTAGTCTCCCACATAATGACTAAAACCCTCTCACTCCTTGTCTCAAGTATATTGAAAACCCCCAAGTAGTGTCGGAGTCATGTATTTGGTAGGATCATGTAAATAGCTGGCACAGTGGACCAGGTAATCTCCAAGCAGATATGATGGGGGGGGGGGGGCAGGGACGATCATGACTTTCTCAAATTACCCCGTTATTAAGAACCATCCCTCCCCCAGAAACCTGGGGTAATTGTAGAGTGTTGCAGTACTAGTCTTTCTTCATAACATTTCCTTGGAGATGAAATGGCAGAAGAGGGTTAATTTTAAGACGATTTGTTAACTTATTTTGTAGTGAACTTTGTCATGTCGACATCAGTGTAAGTCCTGACTGCGATGGAAAAGTTGCATTGTATATTTCTATGGAGTACAGTACATTCTGCAGTTCCGCCATTTACCGCTAGACGTTTTTCTAACATATTTGATGTCTGTTCAATATTTTACATTGGGCACTTTTATAGCGTGTTATATAGATACACGATGATGTTCCCTGCCCTGTCTGTACAGATGTCACTTGGATGCTTCAGCTGACCTTCACCACTTCCCTCACCTCCAAACGTGAACAGCAACTTCCCGGACTCGTCAAACACATAAGACAGGGTGACTGTCCCAGTCCGATACAAGAATGTTCCCTTCCCCGTCCACAGCGATGTACTGGGGGTCTGTCATCCCACCCGCTGAATGTCCGAACCTCTGCACCAGAGAGCCGTCCGGACGGAACACCAAAACTTTACCAAGGTCTCCATCAGTCACCAAGATGTGGTTAGAGCGCATGTCCACCGCAATGCCTCTTAAATTATTGCGCCTCGAAAGGTGAAACCGCGCCATGGCGGTCCCGCCCGTGCTGTACTGTACAGCTCTCTATTTGGCCAATTTCGGCCAACTCTCCCAGCAGCCTCCCAAAGCTAATTATCCCCTAGCCTCCTGTGCAGGCCCCGGAATGGACCTTCTCTCGGCGGCTATGTAGGATGGCTTGCTATATTAAGATAACGCGTTAAAAACTCTTCCCCACCGCCAGGACAGGAGGCTAATCATCCCCTGCCCCAGAATGTATAAAGAACATGCTGTAACCACATACAGCACACGTGGCAATAGAAGTGGGTACGACTGTTACTAGTTAACTTTTAGTATAAACTCTCCAAACTCTTCCCTAGAAACCCCTGCTGATCCCCTGCACGAACCAGACCCGGTAACGGCGATGTTTACACAGACGGAGGTGCTACTTGAGGTGAACGTCCTGCAGGCCGATTGACATGACGGAGTACATAGGGTTGGATAGTTTATATCGCATCAAGAACGGTGCTCATCTAGTCATCATCATCATCATCTAGGTCTAGGCCTATTTAGTTCTATGCTCACGGTCAAGGTTAGGCTCAGGCAGCACGGTTCTGGATAGTCCCCGCGTATCCAAGAATATAGTTTTTTTTATTAATCAAAACATAAAGACATAACAAGGACAGTGTGACGCTGCACTCAAGTTAACAACTTATATTAACAGCGCCACACAACAAAAAAAGGTACAATAAACATTTACAGATTTGCCCCAGGCACGGTTCTGGATACGCGTGGACTTTGAACTTTGGACTCCTGACGTCCGTGTGTCAACTGTTGGACGGTTCGTTCTATTATGACACTATTTAGCTTACTTCAAAAGATACAAATGTGTCTCCTAGCTCCACAAACGTCTAGAGCTAAATGGCACACACTAGAGGTGTTTTCACATGCAATAATATCAAAGTCCAAACAAAGTGCAAACATGTACAATCGACACTGCAGTATTAAATGAGTGAGTCAAAAATGGACAGAAACTACAGAATATGATTTTTCTGGTGTTTATTGAATCTAATATCCACTCTCTCTAGTTACCTTCGCCAAGATGGTTAAATTTTCAGTTGCGTTCGTCATTCTGTCATTCTGTCTGTTTGGTCAACAAGATAACTCAAGAACAGCTAAATGGGTTGGTTTCATAATTTGTTGGTAATTTGGGCTTTTAAAAGTTAAGCGAAGGTGAACATCATTAATGTTGTTTTATTTAAATTTGGGTCTCATTTGCATGATTTATGAGGAAATTTTGTCCAGAATGGCCTTCTTTGTTAAAATAATTCGGTGGAGAATATGATCAACTGATGTAGTTCATGCAAATTATCTTATTTGTATAATCATGGGGAATAATCTTTAATTTATCAGTCATAAAGGTTAACATCATTTGGCGAAGGTATGAAGTCGTGGAACTCTAGTAAGACTAGATCAGACAAAAAACAAAACTCAGCACACTTTCAAGGCTCGCATGTAGGCAGCCATTGGCTGCTGGTCGTCACGTGGGAGGGTTCGGTCACGACGTCACTCCTCAGGCCTGCAGGAGAAGGCTGCCATGCCCTCCTGGGTGCAGTACATGCCGTCCGGACAGGAGGCGCTGCTGCACTGGTACGGAAACCCGCGGGCGACGGGAGAGGGGTCTAGATGCACACATGTACAGGGATTTTTTATTTTAAGCAAAGGAAATAAACTCGACATCATGATCGTAAACTAAGATGATTAAGTACTATACCTACGTGCACACAGTCCTTAAGGGGCATTTTTGTAAACAGGTTTTCAAAGCAATAAACAAAGATATAATAACTAATAGTGCAGTACTTGCCAGTATGTGTTTGAAGAAATTGCCAGTTGCGTAAAATGTACCAATACTTGTCAGAAAATTAAAAATGGATGGTCAGTTGAAATCACTATCATGACATTAATCTGTGTATTTATTAATATTTCATCTTTCATATAAAGAAAAATCCACATTTACCATGTTATGAGAAAAACGCGTATGTTGCAATACTTGAGACTAACTTTTGGGTATTGAAAAACTAGGACTTGATTTCAGGCTATTGAACTGTACAGGCTGCTTGAAAACGATTTGAACGGAATGTTGTGATAACTATTATATTAATGTGAAAAATGTACTCACGAGCGCAGAGGAAGTAGAACGTGAAGTCCTGGCAGACAAAACCATTCGGACACTGGACCTCGGAACACCAGTTCGTGTCTAGATAAAATAACAGGAAGGCATGAAAAAATATTTGAACAGAATGTGTTGTCAGCTTAGCTGTAAAAGTCAGACACTCTTATAAACTACTTTATGCAATTCAAGGAAAGAAAAGTTACTGATCAAATTGTATCAGTTGCTGAACTTCCCTCTGGAATGTAAGCTGTGAAATGTGTGCTGAAAGCGATGCTGGGATGGGTCAAGAGAACGGTTGCTAAGGAGTTACAGAAGGTCGGCAAGAAAAAAAGGCGTTCCATATTCCTGTCCCACATACCTGACTCGCAGTGGTCTCCTTGGTAACCGGTTGGGCAGACGCAGTGGTAGGAGTTGACGTCGTCATGACAACTCCCGCCATTTTGGCATGGGTTGGAGGCACACACGCCAACTCCTGTTGACATGTAAACAATTAGGTTATTACCTTTGCCTAAAAGGTTATGTTTTGCATTTCGTATAGGGTTTATATAGGGCAGTATGTACTACGTATGTTTGTATGTACTAGTATGTGGTTTATCACAATTACTAAAGATGCTACATATGGATCATCATCAAATTTAGCAGGTGGGTCTTAACCTATCAAAGAAATTATTAGATTCTGGATTCCCTAGCAAGTTTCCCTGGTACTGCAGCAGAACCTCCGTCCGGTTTTTATCGTCTTCTTGACATGTTAGGGTCATTATTTTTGGTACAGACAGCTATTGGTTTAACTCTGGATTTGTAGTAGCATTAATGACCCTGCAGCTGTCTATACGAGTAATTGTTACTAGTATTAATCTTCCAATTCTCGAGTGGTTATTTATGGCTTGGCTGTATTTGTATATTTTGTTCCGATAGTTTCATTTTTTCAAAGAAGACATAATGACCTTGAAATTCTGGGGAAAAGTAGCGTCTTGAAATACCTACTTATCTCACAAGTCTTTCCGTCGAACCCGGGAGGACACTGGCAGAAGGCGGCGGAGTCTCCGAAGCAGGAGGTGCAGATGCCGCCGTTCTGACATACGTTCTGTCCGCACAGCGTCAGGACTAGAATGAGAGATTTTCATCAATGAGTTTAAGGTGTGAAACTGCCCATACATCAATTATACATGCCCCAGGAATAGGAAAAAGACACCTGGACATGACCCAAGCAAGAAATGTTTGCCAGTTTGGGGCTTATACTTTTAACCTCGAGCTGGCACGTACGCAGTACAAACCATGAACTGCCCTATTCTGGTTGAACATCGTGGCTTTCAGCTCAATTAACATTTTCATTCATGTCCTTGTGGTGGGCATTAAATTATCATTAGTACCATCATCGTATATTTCAGTGTCTTTTTTTGCTAATTGTTCTACGTAGCGTTATCCTGCCTAGAATGTTACTAATTAAGGTGAAAAAAGCACGTCTTATTGCTTTACCGTCCTGGCAGACGTAGTTGTGCTGGTCCGTGCACGGTGCTGTCTTGCCCAGGAAGTTGCCGGAGCTGTCGAGGAGTACACACAGGTCACATGCAGCAGCCGGCTCGCTTGGTAACCACTCCAGGGGGCCTTAAAATGAAAAACAAATAAGAAAAATTACTTTAAACTGCAATGGCCTGGTGATTAGTAAGCATCATGCAGCCTCCCGGGTAGAAACGTGCAAGAAAATACCATTACCATTATTCAAGTGAAACTTGAAACGTGAAACGAAAAATGTTTAAGTCAACACACTTATATGAACTTGTTGCAAACAATATTTGAAGAAAAGTCACCAATAATGGTGGTTCTAGCGCAAGTAGTTCAGATACTATCGGGCATCAAAGTTGGCGCGAGCAACATTAGCGCCCCCCCCCAGTTTAGAGAGGGTTAAACCAATGTCCAAGCAGTTACAAGGATCAAGATCAGTTTCAGCATTTAGAAGTGTTTTCAAGGATTATACTTATTTTCAATAGCGATCCCCCAATCGATTAATTTTAAACTTGCATATGGGTCCTTCATACCAGAAAAAGGAGCTCCGTTACTGTAGAAAAACACCGGTTCGGTTGGTGCTGTTTTAAGCGCGAGCCATGTGGAGGCTCCGGTGGAAGCCGCGATCGTGTCCGCGAGGAAAGTTTGCTGCTGCCCGTCCTTCACATCCACCAGGTGTCCGCTCTGGGTCTGGCAGGCTCGGGCCGCGTCAGGGTGGGCAGCGGCGGTGGAGGAGAACTGGTAACACTCTCCCGCAAAAGCCACTGCAATTTGTTTTAAATGATTTTTAAATGAGCATACACTTAAATTTTTTCTACTAAGTATGTTATTGTCCACATATGTGTAAAACTAGAGTCAACCTGATCGACTCTAACGATAAACACCAGTTTTCTAATGCTTTTTTAAAAGTAGAGTGGCCCAGTTCCGGTACGGAAACAAACGGTTTCCCTGCTGTCGTAAGTCTAGACAGAAGCAAGTCTAGACAGAGGCAAATGATAGAAACGGACAGACAAAAGCAAAAACGATGAACAAATAGTAGTCAAGCATAATCATACGCATCTTCATGTTTGTTAGGGTGCTGTTTGAGTACAACCAAGATCCATCGTTTTTATAATATAATAAAGCAGTATAATGATGCATTAGAGACCCTACCAGTTTCGCAGTTCTTTCCGGTAGTATCCTTAGGACAGACACAGCTGTAGCCGTTCACGTGATCCAGACAGGTCCCTCCCAGCCAGCAAGGATTGCTCGCGCACTCGTCAATGTCTGAAACATGAACAAAAAGTTCCACTTTTTCTTGATGACGATGAATACCACGCTAAAATTTTACAGCTCAGATGAACTTTCATGCTTATTGATATAGCCCATAATTACGCCAAAAAGCAGTTAGTCAAGCAACTGGATATGATTTTGAAAACCGCCAGACGTTTAAGCTAGTATCCACATGAGCTGTTGTCTGTCCTTCGGACTTGGAGAGCCAAATACAAGTGCCTGAGAGATCTACTCGTAGCCCCCCTTCCCTGTTAATGGTGGGTTTGTACATTTTTTATATATTGCTTCTTGTACAGATATCTTTTACCCACAAGCTCCAATATTGTCTTAATACACCATATATAACTTTTGATGTTTCTTTTCAGAAGTCTTAGGGCATATGTATATACATATAAGTCCGATTTTCAAGATTGCTCAAGGTATTTATTCCCCAATAGTAACAAATATGGGCCAACAGTTCACCCATTGATGTTAATCTATGTCAAGAAATGTAGGAACCTTGATCACAGTTGGTTCCTCCCCAGCCGTTCTCACAGCTACAGGTGTAACTCGCCACGCCGTCAGTACAGGTTCCGTGGGCACATGGGGAGGACAAGCACTCGTCGATAACTGGTAATTGGAGGACAGGTATTACACAGTATTATACAGTATTGCCATTTTCGTATTCTAGTTCTTTGTATTTCTACAATCACAGTCATAGTTTGGTATAAACTTGTATTTTCTTAAATGTTATTAACTGAACAGAGTACTTTTATATTTATGAAAGTATCAAGAACGTACTTTGATCACAGTTGTTCCCTGTCCAGCCGATCTCACAGCTACAGGTGTAACTCGCCACGCCGTCAGTACAGGTTCCGTGTGCACATGGGGAGGATGCACAGTCATCGATGTCTGGAAAAAAAGGAAAAAATAACAGCAAAGAGCCAGCTTCTGTTGGATGTCAACTACATAGTAGGGCGATCGTATGTCATTAAACAACCGTAGTAATCTTGATCGCAGTTGTTCTTAAGGCCGTCAGCCGTCGGTAAAAAACGGTAAAAAGTACATGACTATTATAAAACAGTCTCATACAGCAGTTTCTTTTCATTTTTTGTTCAATCTGGCAGTTTGAAATAAAGATGCCGTTATTCTGATGGTCAGTAGTTAAACAGAGCACTTTTATGACAATGAAAGAATCAAATACTAACTCTGATCACAGTTGTTCCCCTCCCAGCCGTTCTCACAGCTACAGTTGTAACTCGCCACGCCGTCAGTACAGGTTCCGTGTGCACATGGGGAGGACGCACACTCATCGATAACTGATAGAAAAAAAAACTAAAATTTAATCAAAATGAAACTAGAATAATTACATACACCGTTACAGCCTTTGAAAATTTTTGACACACTTGCTGAACGATACGAAAGTTCTGTAACATACCGGATGCTATGCTGGCCAAACAGTTTTATCGTACTGTTGATATTATATTTTATATGGCATATAACATATATGACACAATTTGAAAAAGTAGATCGAGCTTTTAGTAAATCGAACAGTTATGGGTCTGAGAGTGTGTAGCTGTAGTGTAGTCTGTATTGATAATATTCTTCATGATTTTAAATTGTACGAAGTCGGCAATTCAGACTTTTAAACTGTATATTTATGTGAATAAATAACCAGTCATCATCGAGAGTGTAGGACGTAATGCGTGTGTAACTACAGTATGAGGAGGCTGCAGCTTCACCTGCACACAGTGCCCACATGTTGTTGTAGTTTCCTCCCTGCAGGCCGGAGGTGTGAGTGTCATAGTCCACTCCGTATGCGCTGTTACTGTTATCCCCACTCCAGCAGCGAGGACAGTACACAAAGGTGTCATCAAGGGGCAGGCAGTGCCGAGGGTCAATGTCTCCACAGAGTTTTTTGTCGAGGACCCAGTGGGTACGGCAGTCACCGGTATGGCCATACCTGACGCAGTCTGAGGTCCAGGAGTAGCTGGAAGTGCACCCAGAATTACCTGAGTAGTGGCACGGAAACCCCATCCCCGCCGCTTCGCATGTGGATTTGACGTTTTCGCTGGTCATGGGTCCTGACGAACGAACTTTAAAAAAAGCCCAGTGGTCTTGTGTGGCCAGGTACACCTGTTCGCCTGAAAAAGGAAGAGAACTTTGGGGGGTGCAGGTTCGTAGACTCAAAGTGCCCGCCCCAACTTTGATGTTGCATAGCGTTTAAACGACCACCAATAGCTAGAACCACCAAACTTGGTGACTTTTCCTAAAATATATTATTAGTTACGTCGATGAAGGTTAGACATCCAGGTAATACGATATGCCAAAAAATAGTTACTCAAGCAACTGGATATGATTTTGAAAAACGTCAGACGTTTCAGCTAGTATCCACTAGCTTTCGTCAGTGACTGAGAGACCAGAGGGGAAGGCAGGTTTATATACACAACCTGTTGATTGATATGCAAATAAAGTGAAGACAAATTTTTGGAAGTCGAAAAAGGAACAAAAGTCAGACAAGTCAAGACAAGATGATGCAAATTAGTCTGAAAGCTCCTGTTATACAGGACAGGAGCTTAAGTGTTGTCTGTCCTCGGGGCTGGGAGTGCCAAATCCCAAGTCCCGGAAAGATCGACCCGTAGCCCCCCTTCCCTGTTGAGGGTGGGGTTGTACATTCTTTCATATATTGCCTCTTTAACACCCCGTTCCCACCAGCGTGTTTCGCGGTCTAAGACATCCGTGGACTCGAGTTTGAAAGAGTGACCCTGGTTGTGTTGTAGGTGGTGGAAAATAGCTGAGGAGTAGCCGTTGGCACTAGGTTTTGCATCATCTTGTCTTGACTTGTCTGACTTTTGTTCCTTTTTCGACTTCCAAAAATTTGTCTTCACTTTATTTGCATATCAATCAACAGGTTGTGTATATAAACCTGCCTTCCCCTCTGGTCTCTCAGTCACTGACGAAAGCTAGTGGATACTAGCTGAAACGTCTGACGTTTTTCAAAATCATATCCAGTTGCTCGAGTAACTATTTTTTGGCATATATTATTAGTTGTCAACAATTTTGTATCAGTGTAATCAGTTTATGATATTTTGTGTTGTGTTCAAGTTGTAGCTAGAAGTCCAGGGGGAAAGACTCCCAGCGATTGCTGAGCATCTTATAAAAAGCCCAAAGAAAGACGTTTGACGCAACATTGAGCGACAAATAGAACATCGAAGAGTTTAAACAACAGATACGAGTCGGGCCATGCAGAAGCCATCGAGAATAGTGGGCTCCGAGGCAGATATAAAGTATGCTGCTACCAGTACGGGTTGTTACCACGAGCAGTATGGCCATGTACGATATACCTCTTACAGTTCATGTTATTCTGTGTCACGAAATGCACCGACCTTGATCACAGTTTTCTCCTCCCCAGCCGTTCTCACAGCTACAGGTGTAACTCGTCGGCGCCACGCCGTTAGTACAGGTTCCGTGTGCACATGGAGAGGACGCGCAGCCATCGATAACTGGTAATTGAAAGTCAAGTATTACATAGTATTATACAGTATGGTCATTTTCTTATTCTAGTTATGGGTTCACCACACCACGAAGTGGTGTGGTGAAACCATATTGCTTTTTCTGATGTTTCTTCTCCTCCTTCTCCTGCCATTTTTTAAATGGATTCAGCTTCTTCATTTTAGGGCCTAAGGTCCTGAAATTTGGTATGGAGGTACAGTGGGCAAATACCCCTAGGCGTTTTTTAAATTATTGTGATACAGGCTTTTAGAATGGTTTTATTTGAGTTTTTTGGCTGTGTTATAGCAAATGTATTACTGTGTTAGTGTGCAGTGTTACCACATTTGGGCATGAGTCATCACAATGGAATGCAGGGCATCAACCAATAGGCATGCAGCTTTCCTCTATTCTCCTTGCTGATTGGCTGTTGGAATTTAACAGGCTTAACGTAATTAATACCTGCTCAGATCCATTCCATACTGACAGTAGGTCTGTGTTCAAGTGTTTTGGTAGGTATTTCAAGCTTTCCTGCTCCAGCATTGGAATGCGGGGCATGAACACTTCTTTTTTTCTTGAAAATCAACAGTTTGCATTATGCAATTAAAAATCCTAACCAATAATGTAGGGAATAGCTATCCAACTGTTGTAGTCTTAGTTGTATGTTACTTCATACTATAGTTATATCAATGTAAAGCATTGTTTTCCCTTGTGTTTCTCATTCTTTCCCTGCCATGTCGTAAAATGTGGTGAAGCCATTGCTGTATTTGCTCCAAAGCAAATGTCGGCCTTTCTAGTTCTTTTTTTTTTCTATGCAACCACAAGGATAGTTTGATATAAACTTGTCTTTTCTTAAATGTTAGTTACTAAACAGGGTAATGTTATGTTTATTAAAGGTACTTACTTTGATCACAGTTTTCTCCTCCCCAGCCGTTCTCACAGCTACAGGTGTAACTCGCCACGCCGTCAGTACAGTTGCCGTGTGCACATGGGGAGGATGCACACTCATCGATAACTGACAGAAAAAAACAACTAAATGAAAGGAGAATAACTAAGCACAACTTTAAAGCCTTTGGTACTTCACCATTACGTTACTCAGAAAATTGCCGAAAATGTACGACACAATCGTTTTGTATCCAGTTGCTCGGTAGCGTTTTGTGCCTACCCTGACTGGATTATGTAGTGAGCACATGTTCTTTAAAATGTAATATGTTCTCTTTTGTTACAATGAAACTATCAAATTGTAACCCGTCACACTAAAACCATTGTCAAATCATATATCATATGTATGATAATGCAAGATTGCAATTACACATCACTGCCTGAAAAACGACATATCCGGACGTTTCCGGACCTGCATATGTCCCGTGAAACTTGGCGTGCCCGGGTGTGTCCCGGTGTGTGCAGGAAATATCGGCCACGGCGTGTGCGGTGTGATACCTCCGGACCAATAGGGGCTGCACGAGCTACCTCCATGGAGGAGCTCTGCAGAGCTCCTCCATGGAGGTTGCTCGTACAGCCCTCCGCGATACCCCCGCAGAGCTCCGCGACAAAACAAGTCAATTCGCTGGTTGTCGTCACCGTTGAGTTTTGCTTTAAAATCTTTGAACTCTGCGTTCAAAACAATTCGATGGCTGGCGTCAGTTTTCAGTTGTCTGGCTCTCCCAAACAAACAAGACTTCGCATAGCTCCATGGAGCTGCTCGGACAACCCTAGTTCCGTCGGTTATAAAGCATACAGAGCTCCGCGACAAAACAAATCAATTCGCTGTTGTCGTCACCGTTGAGTTTTGCTTTAAAATCTTTGAACTCTGCGTTCAAAACAATTCGATGGCTGGCGTCAGTTTTGTATAGAGCTCCGTAGATTTTTAATAAGCCAGTTCAATGTGACTGCTAGGCTTTGTAACGTACCAGGGGCTCTCCCAAATAAACAAGACTTCGCAGAGCTCCATGGAGCTGCACGGACAACCCTAGTTCCGTCGGTTATAAAGCATAGCTTTTGAACGCAGAGCTTAAAGATTTAAAAGTAAAACTCAACGGTGACGACAACCAGCGAATTGACTTGTTTTGTCGCGGAGCTCTGCAGAGGTAGCACTTGGGGCTGGACGAGCAACCTCCATGGTACGCTCTGCATAGCTCCTCAATGGAGGTTGCTCGTGCAGCCCCTTCTCCTCCGGACACGCCCGGACACCTGGTAATTAGTCGTGTGTACGGGGATTTACGGGCCAGCACACGTCACACGCCGCAAGTATTGCCAAACAATGAGGATGCACCGTAGACTATTTTGCAACTGTGTGAATTGAGGATCGGGGGGTTTCAAAGGCCGCATATCAGTTTAGCGGGGAAAGTGCCACATGAGATATACCGACAAGAGTAACATTTATAAACGAAGACTTATGGAAACCAACTACTTGAAAATAACACCCTTCCCACTGAAAAATTGAAGCGTTTAAAAACAGCGTTCAGTATTATTACATTATACATTGGTACCATGTTACATACAAGGTTTATGAAGAAATTGGACGCTTTTAAAGTTTTAGGCGTTGGCAAATGTCGTCTTGGCTTTGAAACAAAAGAAAACATGGCGTACCCACGCGCGGCCCGTGTTTTTTTTTCTATAGTGGACTATTGTCGAGAATTACATTCAGACATGTTTGAGAATAACATTTCGTACATTTTTGGGGAGGGTAGTGTGTTATTCACATACTATTAGCTCGTCAAGAATTTAATAGTGCAAGTAAAATCACAGGATCTCTTCCCCACCGCGTTTACGAAGTACAGTTTATTTATGTCTATAAAACGCGCGATACCCCAGTGTTTGATCACAGTGCCCGCAATACTGCCTTGGTCTCTCTCTTCCGCTTTACAACTTTTGCAGTATCATCCATAATTTAGGGAGCACAACGTGCACATTGTATTATCTAAATGTAAATCAAAAGTGACAGTTGTAAGCCAGCGTGTTGTAGTCTTGTCCAAAGCCACATGCACCCAGCTGACCAACCGCATCTTGCTGGTTGAAACTAACCAATGAGAGTTAAGATACTGACGAGATTGACCAATGCGGCTTCGAATCCAATATCTTTTGAAGTATGTGGTAATGGTAATGACTTCGATCCTTGTTTCCTACAATCCCCCCAAGTTTTTCGCTTCTTTGATTTAGTTTATCCTTTCGCTTGTAAATGGCATCCAACATTTCGCCCCGTGGATTTTACCGAAGTACTAGTAGTTTCCGCAACGGTAGAAGTGACAGGACAACGACAGCGCACGACGTTTCTCCGGTAACACAGAGAACCCAACACGGCAACCGCGAGACGAGCCCGCTTGGGATTCCGACACGAACATAAGTTACAAATGAACGACTGTTCAGAAGTATCATGACCCTCAACCGCACAGTACAAGGACTGGCCGAAGCCAACAAAAAGCAGGAGGAGACTTTGCATCAAATGCGGGAGGTCATGGATACGCAAATCTCCGAACTGACCGAGGAGGTGCGCCATCTCCGCGAGCGGCTTGGGGAGCAGGAAGATGCCGTGCCCGCGGCCAAGCGTCAGAAGAAGCGGGACCATTCCGCACTTTTGTCGGTAAGTTGTTTTGTGCAATTTTATAGGTATCAGGTATAGACATGCACACAATCCACCATCCATAAATACTTTTCAAGTAGAAATTGCTGTTTGTAATTTCTTATTGAATGGCCCTTTGCAAGTTACACTCTGAAAACACAGTTGTTTCGAGTAAATCATAGCTTTGCTACGATTTGAATATAGACAATGAAATATGCTAAATTGTGGTTACACATTCATTCATTCATTTATTTCGAAACCTTTTAGCCCCGAAGGGCTAATCTTCCAAGGCTCAAACATTATAGCAATTACAACATAGTGGAAACATTTAAAAATACATACATACATACATGTACACCACATCAACAATAAATACACATAGATATAAACAATTTAAAAGTAGCGAGCAAGGGTCAAGGATCAGGTGACACTACTACTGTTTGAAACGGCTTTCTTAAAACTGATAACATCGCACAGTGTCTTAACGTCAGATGGTAGATCGTTCCAGAGCACGACTGCACGATACAGGAATGAGCGTTTTCTGCTACTGGACTTAGGTATTGGTAATCTAAAGTTATGTGCGGAAGATCTGGTATTATGACTGTGAGATGCATGAACAGGCAAAAGGGAGTTGTAAATATTTTGTGGTTCGTGACTCGTGAGGATCTTAAAGAACATGACCAAAGTGCTTTTCAAGAATCTCTCTCTCACAGTCGGCCAACCAAGATCTAGATGCATCTGCCTGGTAGGAGTATCAGGAGTACATTTCAGTAACAGTCTACATGCCCTATTCTGCACTACTTGCAGTTTGCGCATGTTGGAGTCTGACATGTTGGCTAAGACTGGTGCGCAGTACTGCACAACTGACAGAACCAGTGCACAAACAACAACCTTGCAAACTGCAAAAGGCATCGCCCACATATGCCTTCTCAATAGGGCAATGTTTCTTGATTGTCTTGACGCAATGTGAGTAACATGTGAGTTCCATGTGAGAGACCTATCCATGTGTAGACCCAACAAAACTGTCTCCCTCACTTCCTGTACCCTCTCAGTACCGATTGCAAGATCTAGTGAATTATCAGGCAAACTAGCGAGCCTACGTGGGGTTCCGAAAAGCATGCATTTAGTTTTAAGAATATTCAACACAACACTAATTTATGTACACAAACCTGGGTTCATTGTTTTAGCCGCCTGGTAGGCAGGCAATTTTCACACTTTCAAGCGACCAGGCCTTTTCGAACAAAAGAGATGAACAAACCTAACGGGTATCATATCTGCTTGCTATGCAAATGTTGCGAGGACGTTGGATTAAATATTTCGTTGCCTTTCTCTTTACAGGAGATGGTAAGGCGGCTGCATAATGGCGAAGAGAACGAGTTAAGTACAACGGAGACGAAGGGTAAGCAGATTTGTTTGCTGTCGACTTAAATGCTTTCAAAAATACTTTCCAAATACTAATTTGAGCCTTCTAACTCCATGGTTTTTAGTTTGGCTACCCCCTTATAGTTTTACCAACAGTTAAAATGTTTGAGCTTTGTGTATAAAGAAATGCTACTGTTAGTATAAAGAACATCCAGATCCAGTGCGCAAATCAAGACGTTTAATCATGAATTACTGAAAAAAATTCTTTGATATTCTTCAGGCTGAAAACACCTCACAACGAGTGACCAGCTTCCTCATGAAAGAAGTTGCTGCCGCATCACAGTATCCCCCCAGACGCTATCCGGGGTGAGTACGGCAAAACACTCATTTACCTGTAATCCATCTTTGTAAACAGTATACGAGACCAATTTTTGTCATAATGCTAATTGATTATTGTTTATGTACACAATGCACAATATTGCCAGTAAGAGCTGGACATCATATATGGATATCCAATATCCATTAGTACGATAAGACGTTTTGATTACTGCTGACTATTTGTATTGGTTGTTTTCAGCCGCTTGTGTTTCGTACAACGAATCTATTCGTCGGAGACATGTGCAGAGCCGTCCCGAAAACGTCGAGAACTCAGCAAAACAAAAGAGTGAAAAGTGTCATCGTTTACGGAGAAAAAGGCTGAGTTTATGCAAATATTTCTAACTACACGTACACGCGCGAAAACAAGCCGTGCCAGAACCAAACCTTTTTGATATGCATGAGTACTCAATTGTTCCTCCGCTAGGAGATACCCCGCGATGCCAAGATATTTCAGAATTACAATGTACCGATTTTCAACCTCCTTGAATGTACCTGTTTTTTTCGCTTTCTTGATATGTAAGCAAGTAATGGTACAATTGCCACCCAAGCAACGGAAAAAATATAAAATCACACACAGTTGCTTGAGTAACAATTTACATGTGTATCTTTCTGAATATTGTTCGCCTGGAAGTGTTTTATAATTATACTGTTCTTTTTATTGGAAGGCAAGCGTTGTTAAGGGTGACAAAATGTCCTTGTTTAGGGTGACAAAAGATCAATTGATTAAAGCAGTCTTTCGATTTCTCTATATTTCCTTAGTTACTGGAAGCAAGAGCGTGTGTAACACACTGCAGGCCAGGCTGGACGCAGACCCGGAGTACAGGGAGTCTCACATCTCGAGAAGGACGGAGGAAGGGGTATTCAGCACAAGAGCTCCCCCAAAGAACTACAACAGCGAGCGGGCCAGTCAGCACCTCCTGCAGACCTCCACCCCCCGTCTTCCGCGCCATACCGCCGCCCCGATGTCTGACATCACAAACAGCAACAGCAACAACAATCCACCCATCGCGCAGCAACGCAGTCAACCCAACTGAAGTGCCCGAAGCTTATCGTTTCACGACCTTGGTCGCGGTTCCCATGACTACAAGCAAAATGGCGACGTGTGCGGGTGTGTGCAGCCCGTACACGTACTGGGTGCAGCCAAACCTTGAAAGATAATTAGGTGATACTTACCGCTATATTATGCATCTCTCACACACACACTGGGCGTACGTGTCACGTATCCGGGCGTGTGCGGAGATTTACAGGTGGCGTGGGCAGGCGTGCCCTGCCGTGTCCGGGTACGCGCGCGGACGAATCCGGGCCTGCACACGGCCCGTACACCTGAGTGGTCCGTATCCGGGCCGTGTGCAGGCCCGGACACGCCAAGTGTACGGGTCGTACACGCCTGAATGTAGCATGGGCGCCAGGCGCGTGTCTGGGAGTATACGAGCCGGATACGTCGTTTTTCGTGCAGTGCATACTAATATGCTACATTCAGGTTAAAATCCTTCGAAAAGGTTAATCCTCATTAGTTTTTTGAACCCATGCTTCACATATTTAGTGCTAGAAGTCCTGTCAATATATGTATTTTGCTACTACATGTTATACTTCCCAAGAGAGTGACGCGTAAATGCATGCATTTATCTGTCTCGTGTGTAACTATATCGAGACTGCAGCCTCACCTGCACACAGTGCCCACATGTCGTTGTAGTTTCCTCCCTGCAGGCCGAAGGTGTGAGTGTCATAGTCCACTCCGTATGCGCTGTTACTGTTATCCCCACTCCAGCAGCGAGGACAGTACACAAAGGTGTCATCAAGGGGCAGACAGTGCCGAGGGTCAATGTCTCCACAGAGTTTATTGTTGAGGACCCAGTGTGTACCGCAGGAGCTACTGGTACCGCGATAACTGATGCAGCCTGAGGTCCAGGAGGAGCTGGAAGTGCACCCAGAACTACCTTTGTAGTGGCACGGAAACCCCATCCCCGCCGCTTCACATGTGGATTTGACGTTTTCGCTGGTCATGGGTCCTGACGAACGAACTTTATAAAAGGCCCAATGGTCTTCTGAGGCCAGGTACACCTGTTCGCCTAAAAAAAGGAAGAGGATTTTGGGGGTGTGGGTTCGTAGACTCAAAGTGGCCGCGCCAACTTTGATGTTGCATAGCGTTTAAACGGAATGCGCTAGAACCACCAAACTTGGTGACTTTTTCTAAAATATGTTAGTAGTTGTCAACAATTTTGTATCAGTGTGATCCGTTTATGGTATTTTGTGTTGTGTTCAAGTTGTAGCTAGAAGTCCAGGGGGAAAGACTCCCAGCGATTGCTGAGCATCTTATAAAAAGCCCAAAGAAAGACGTTTGACGCAACATTGAGCGACAAATAGAACTAGAAGCCATCGAGAATAGTGGGCTCCCAGGCAGATATAAAGTATGCTGCTACCAGTACGGGTTGTTACCACGAGCAGTATGGCCATGTACGATATACCTCTTACAGTTCATGTTATTCTGTGTCACGAAATGCACCGACCTTGATCACAGTTTTCTCCTCCCCAGCCGTTCTCACAGCTACAGGTGTAACTCGTCGGCGCCACGCCGTTAGTACAGGTTCCGTGTGCACATGGAGAGGACGCGCAGCCATCGATAACTGGTAATTGAAAGTCAAGTATTACATAGTATTATACAGTATGGTCATTTTCTTATTCTAGTTCTTTGTTTCTATACAATCACAATGATAGTATGATATAAACTTTTATATCATACCCGGGCCGCGATAACGTTCGATAACGGGTACCGGACCGGGCGGTACTTTACGGTACTTTTCTTGGGTGGGTATGACATAAATAAAATACAACACGGGGTATTCCGCATCAAACTCGGTCCCGGCCCTCCCGCGAGTCGGATCGCCCGACGCCCTCAATCCGACCCGTGGTCGGGCCGATACCTCGGGCGATACGGAATACCCCGTGTTGTATTCTATATGTATTTTTACCTTCGCCAAGAAGGTTATGTTTTCAGAGGCGTTCGTGTATGTGTGTGTGTGTGTGTGTGTCTGTCTGTCTGTCTGTCTGTCTGTCAACACGATAACTTGAGAAGGCCTTGATGGATTGTCTTGATACTTGGTAGGTGGGTAGGTCTTGATGAGACCTCAAAATGATTAGATTTTGGACCCCCTAGCGGCTTGTTATGGTACTGCAGCTGAACTTACGGTTTTGATATCTCATGATCTAGACATGTTATGGTGATGAAATTTGGGTGGTAGGTAGCTCTTGTGCTGGGGAAGAAGTGACGTGAGTTTGGGCCCCCTAGTGGCTTGTTCTGGAACTGCAGGGATATATTCTTGAAAATATTCAAAAGAGGATAACTCAATAACCGGTTGACGGATCGTCGTGATTTTTGGTATGTAGGTAGCTTACGTGATGCTTAATATAATTATGTGACAATTATGCAAATATGGATGTAATTTGCATAATTTATGGGGAAATTCTATAAATCAGCTACATTCCATAATAAGACAATTGAAGCTTGTGACATTGGTAATTGACAACGAGAGAAACACAGGCAGATATTGATTATGTTAATAATGACTTAATTTGCATAATTAATGAGAAAATTTTATAATTATGTAATGATAACTGCCTGTAATTTCATACTTATGGTATTTGAAAGTTAAGTTGAGGTAAACATGATTTAACATAATTTATTCAAATCAGGACGTCATTTGCATAATTTATTAGGAAATACTAGAATGCCTTGTTTGTTTCTATAAGACTGTCTTTTGGTTGAGATTATGATAAAATGATATAATTCATTAAAATTAGGTTCCTATTTCTTAAATCAGGGGCAATAATCTAATCTATAATTTGTCAGTCATTTGGCGAAGGTATGAGATCGGGGAACTCTAGTCTTAAATGTTAGTTACTGAACAGGGTAATGTTATGTTTATTAAAGGTACTTACTTTGATCACAGTTTTCTCCTCCCCAGCCGTTCTCACAGCTACAGGTGTAACTCGCCACGCCATCAGTACAGTTGCCGTGTGCACATGGGGAGGACGCACACTCATCGATAACTGGCAGAAAAGAACTAAATGTCAATTAAAATGAAAGGAGAATAACTAAACACAACTTTAAAGCCTTTGGTACTTCACCATTACGTTACTCAGAAAACTGTATTTTGTATCAATTTGATCGGTAGCGTTTTGTGTCACCCCTGACTGGATTATGTAATGAACATATGTTCTTTAAAATGTAATATGTTCTCTTTTGTTACAATAAAACAATCAAATTATAACCTTTGTCACAGTTTCCGTCATACTAAAACCATTGTCAAATCATATATCATATGTATGATAATGCAAGATTGCAATTACACATACTAATGTGCTACATTAAGACCCTTCGAAACGGTTAATCCTCATTAGTTTTATTTAGAACCAATGCTTTACATATTTAGTGCTAGAAGTCCTGTCAATATATGTATTTTGCTACTACATGTTATACTTCCCAAATACTTCCCAAGAGAGTGAGACGAAAATGCATGCATTTATCTGTCTCGTGTGTAACTATATCGAGGCTGAAGCCTCACCTGCACACAGTGCCCACATGTCGTTGTAGTTTGCTCCCTGCAGGCCGGAGGTGTGAGTGTCATAGTCCACTCCGTATGCGCTGTTACTGTTATCCCCACTCCAGCAGCGAGGACAGTACACAAAGGTGTCATCAAGGGGCAGGCAGTGCCGAGGGTCAATGTCTCCACAGAGTTTTTTGTCGAGGACCCAGTGGGTACGGCAGTCACCGGTATGGCCATACCTGACGCAGTCTGAGGTCCAGGAGGAGCTGGAAGTGCACCCAGAATTACCTGAGTAGTGGCACGGAAACCCCATCCCCGCCGCTTCGCATGTGGATTTGACGTTTTCGCTGGTCATGGGTCCTGACGAACGAACTTTATAAAAGGCCCAGTGGTCTTGTGTGGCCAGGTACACCTGTTCGCCTGAAAAAGGAAGAGAATTTGTTTATCACCACCAATATTATACACCGTTTATCACAACTTTATGGCAACGATTTCAGAAAGGATGGAATTAAGGTTGCGACGGTGGTGGCGTGGATTTTTGCACAAGACAAGTCAGATGCGCGGGATCGGAATACAGGAATTATTTTACGTCTGCGGCAGGCAAGGTCGTGTGTACATTTGGCCTGGTGTGTGTTTGCACGCGGGCAGTAGGATCGCTGTCTGGGCGGATTCTGAACCCTTTGTGGCATTTCCAATGGCGACATTGGGGACGGTCAGGGTCACTCATGTCATAACTGAAAACCTTTAAGTCGGACAATTGGCAAACCTAGGACACAGTAACTTGAACATCATTGAATTCATAGTGTATATCCTTACGGTTCAAAATAACACAATAGTAACAACGCCCATAGCAACAGATGGGCAAAAAGTTCACCCGTTGATATTAATCCGTGTCAAAAAAATGTACCGACCTTGATCACAGTTCTGTCCTTCCCAGCCGTTCTCACAGCTACAGGTGTAACTCGCCACGCCGTCAGTACAGGTTCCGTGGGCACATGGGGAGGACAAGCACTCGTCGATAACTGGTAAATGAAGGTCAAGTATTACACAGTATTATACAATATTGCCATTTTATTATTCTAGTTCTTTGTATCTACACAACCACAATGATAGTTTGATATAAACTTGTATTTTCTTAAATGCTAGTAATTGAACAGGGCACTTAAATGTTTTTGAAAGTATCAAGTAATTACTTTGGTCACAGTTGTTCCCTGTCCAGCCGTTCTCACAGCTACATGTATAACTCCCAGGGCCGTCAGTACAGGTTCCGTGTACACATGGGAAGAACAAGCACTCATCAATGTCTGGAACAAAGACAAGGCAATAATTCACAGCATCAAAGCGAGCTTCTTTTGGATGAGCGGGGTGATTGTATGTCAGTAAAAAAAACGTAGTAACCTTCATCACAGTTGTTTTCTTTAGGCGGTCAGTCATCAGTGTCTGGTAAAAGGTACGTTATACTCAGTCTCATACAGCAACTGCTTTTCATTTTTTTTATTCAATCTGACCACACTGGCAGCCTGAAATAAAGATGCCATTATCCTAAAGGTTAGTAGCTAAACAGAACCCGTTTATGACAATAAAAGAATTACTAACTCTGATCACAGTTGTTCCCTGTCCAGCCGTTCTCACAGCTACAGGTGTAACTCGCCTCGCCGTCAGTACAGGTTCCGTGCGCACATGGGGAGGACGCACAGTCATCGATAACTGATAGAAAAACTAAATGTTAATTAAAATGAAACAAGAAGCCATAGGCAACAATCCTCCGTGAAGTTTTATATATTACAACAAAAACAATCCCAAGCGTTAACGCCAGACCTACTGTGCAGACATAAGGCAACGGTTAATACAATGAGGGCGCGTCACAATCATAAAACATAAAAAGACCTAAATCCATTACTGCTCCCAGGGCGTGTAAAGATACTGTGCTTCAAGTTCGAAGTACATTTTAATTACACACACACACACACAATCATTGCATCCACATAAAGATCGGACTATCATGGTCGTGTCACTAGTAACAAAGACAACCCCACCGTCTGACCGTTCCTGTTACTTATTAAGCGCGACTGGCCAGACAACAGTTGCGGCAAGCACCGCGAACTAGTGTTACTACAGCCGGTCAGATACCCCGGCGAAAGATCTCAACGACCTTATAGGGATGATTCAAAAATAAGCATTTACACCAATATCAAAACTGCTTGGGTATACATAAAAATAAAGTCAATAGGCGACAATTCTCCGTGACTATATTTTGCAGATTGAGAACAGTAATAGTGTATGTAAATAGTGTGTGATCACTTAATAACTGGTAACAACGTATAGTAAAATTGGCTAAATCCCTGGTCTAATAATCTAGCCTGACTAAAACATCGCGCTCCTGGTGGCCACCTGCCCAGAGGTTTGCCGCCCCCTTGGGTAAACAGTTGCAGACTAAGTAGTCTAAACACAGGCTACATAAAATCAACAACACGACAATCTAAATATATGAACAAAGTCTGCTTTCATAACAATATATTTCATTTACTACATATTATTCATTTGACAACGTATCGCAGTAGGTGCAAACCACAATTCCAAAAGATACTCGCCACCATTATGCACAACAGCCACCTAATATCTGCTTATAGAACCTCTGCTACCAGACAACTGCCTAAACCTACGGCCTATCCCACAGGATTGAAAAAGTAGGGATGTTTCTAAAATATGCATTTACTTCAATATCAAAACTGCTACGGTGAAAATAAAAAGACGTGCATCATCACGGACATAATGGCACACCACATGCCCAATTACACAGAAATGCTACGTACGGAAGAATGCGTTTTGGCGGCGAACATCTTCCAAAAAACTTACCATCTCTTAAGCACGGGCAAAAACGTCTGGAACCACTTATCGGCCCCTCACCATATCTGCATGAAGTTCCACCCCCCGCCGCTATTCCAAACAACGCGTTTTTCTCGACCATTCCATTTTGCCTCATAATTGCAGGGGTGCATCTGCAATATTACATTGACCGCGAAAGCAGCAACGACAAAAATACACATTCATGCAT